CAGTAAGTTTGGTTGTCAACTGGAAGTGAGAGAGTAGAGTTAGGGTTTAGAGTTTTGTTTCAAACAGGAAAGGAGAAAGCTGGGAATAATTAATGAATTTAGGTCTCAGGGAAATTAGAAGGAATGAGCTCTGAACTACAGATGGCGGGATTAACTGTGGACCTGTATGGGAACCCAACTTCCTCTGAGATCGGAAGAAAGAAAGTATGGATGGGGATACGTTTGTAAGGGGAGAAGAAGGTTAGTTGGTGGGCAGCTGAGAAATTGAGGACATTTTTGTCAAGTAGCCCCAGTTTTCTCTTAGAAGTTAGAGACAAGGTCAATGAAAAGGTAGGTGAGATTTTGGAATCGCTGCTTTGTGCCTAGGAGGACTTTCATACAATTGTTGAATGAATGAATGAACTTAAAGTAATGGAAATTATCTAGGGGAAATGGTGAACAACATAGACTGATGAACAAGAACAGACCCAAAGATAAGGAGCCATGGGTCAGAGTGTTGGGCCTCAAAGGGAGGGGAGGGATAAAAGGGAGAGATCAACCAAAGGACTTATGTGCACACATATGAGCCTAACCAGTGGTCAAGGACAATAGCGGAGTGGGGGCATGAAAGGGGTGGGTGGGGTATTGGAATGGGGGGTTGATCAATGAAGAAATTAATTAAAAAAAACTAATGGAAAGGCAAGACACATAAAAACAACAACAACAGATGCTCTCAGATTGTCCATCAAACCACACCTGGCTCACCGGGCTCCCGTTTTGCTCCTATTCTCCCTTTTTCTGGTTCTGTTCTCACATGAATCTGATCTAGAATTGCTTAACGGTTAAGCCTTAACAGACCCTCCTCACTCAGAGGATGTAGACTTTCTGGTCATAAATTACTTTAGACTTTAATAATCTAAAACCTTTCTAGGTTTCCTAGGGGATATTTAATTATCATAGCTGACAAAAATGATTCCTCTCCCTCCCCTCCTTTTCAGGCTTTGAGGTCTTTGAAGGGACTTCATCTTTGGGTTTAGTGCCTCTAGCACAGACCTGGCACAAAGGAACCTCCTTTTATTTCTCTAGCTTAGATGACCCAGATGTACGGTTCTCTTCCTTATGCCCAAATTGTACTATTTTCCCCCTCTTTTCCCTATAGAAGATAGTTAACCTCTACAAATACAGTTATATGTTTTGTGAATTTATATAGAGATACAACGCAATGCAGAAAAGTGTATAAATTGGTTTAGGTTTTCAGAATTTTCCAAGTAAACACACCTGTGTGTAACAGCTTGTAGTGGCTATGGCTAAGGCTATGGCTATGGAGAACTGAATGATGCAGTTTCTGTGGGGGTTTGGGGTGTGTGTCTTTATTAGATTGTAAATTCTTTAAAAAATATATATATCTTATTGATTTTTTTTTACAGAGAGGAAGAAAGAGGGATAGAAAGTTAGAAACATCGAAAAGAGAATCATCGATCAGCTGCCTCTTGCACACCCCCTACTGGGGATGTGCCCGCAACCAAGATACATGCCCTTGACTGGAATTGAACCCAGGACCTTTCAGTCCGCAGGCTGACACTCTATCCATTGAGCCAAACCCGTTTCGGCAGATTGTAAATTCTTACATGGAACAAAGTTTCCTTTTTAATTAGTGCTTAGTGAATATTATTTCATGATATAATCAAATGATCTTCACACTGTTGAACAACATATGGGTCAAGATGGTTTTCTACTTTATACCAACCCCTTTCATATTTATTCTTATAGCTGATAAAAAAGTAATTGCTCTTCTTCATGGAGAACAATTTAATATCTATTCAAATGTTGGCTGTTTTAGATAACCAGAATTATATTTCACCAATCCATTCATTTATTCATTCATTCAGTAAACATATATAGAACAACTACCATCTACCCAGGATTTATAAGCATTGTGCTAAACATCTAAGTAGAGAAGGAAAGGAAGGAAGGAAGGAAGACTAGAAAGATGTATTTTACCCATGTGTATTTCAGTGAGTCAACTCTGTAATCTCTATTTTTATATTTTCCCATGACTATTCAAAGGAGGTATATGGTTAAGCTCTGTGACCTGAAGACAAAATTTTCATATAGTGCTTCCTTTCTAGTTAAATAAAAAACAGGATTTTAGTACAGAAGTTCTTTGTCCCTTTTGGGAAGCCTTCCTATAATTTATTGTTTGCTTGGTATTTATTTATACCTTGGTATTTATGTTTGAGTCATTTTCTTTTTAGATTTGAGTGCTCATTTTAGGGAAGGAAGAACAGAAATTAGCTGATTTTCAAATACAATAAAATTAGATCAAGCCTGGCCAGCTTGGCTTAGTGGTTGAGCATTGACCTATAAGCCAGGAAGTCCAGGGCACATGCCTGGGTTGTAGGCTAGATTCCCCGTGTGGGCATTCAAGAGGCAGCTAATTGATGATTCCCTCTCATAATTGATGTTTCTCTCTCCCTTCCTCTCTGAAATAAATAAAAAATATATATTTAAAAATTATATTAAGTATGTACAGTACTAATTTTTGTCCTCATTTATCAAGATTTAAGAACCAAAGTTTATTTTTCTTCAGTGTGCGAAGTAGTAATAGACCTGCACATAGGGTCAAATTCTATATAATAAAAGGGTAATATGCAAGTCAACCAAATGGCAGAATGACTGGTCACTATGACATACACTGATTACCAGGGGGCAGACGCTCAATGCAGGAGCTGCCCCCTGGTGGTCACTGCTCTCCCACAAGCCAGGCTGTTGGGTGGTGACCACATCGGCCCTCCTCCATGGCAGCTGGCAGTGCTTAGGCCCATGGGGAGCAGGCCTAAGCCACAGCCCGACATCCCCAAGGGCTCCTGGACTGCGAAAGGGCACAGGCCGGGCTGAGGGACTGCCCACGAATGTCGTGCACTGGGCCTCTAGTGGATTAATAAATGCCTAAGTAGCCTAAACTGGTTTGGCTCAAACTGGTTTGGCTCAGTGGATAGAGCGTTGGTATGCGGACTCATGGGCCCCAGGTTTGATTTCTGTCAAGGGCATGTACCTTGGTTGCAGGCACATCCCCAGTGGGGGGTGTGCAGGAGGCGGCTCGTTGATGTTTCTCTCTCATCGATGTTTCTAGCTCTCTATCCCTCTCCCTTCCTCTCTGTAAAAAAATCAATAAAAATATATTTAAAATAAATACATAAATAAATACATAAATAAATGCCTAAGTAAACCATTTTCAAGCACACTTAACTAATGTAAGAATTTCTACCTTACTGATACAATATTGAAATTAATTTCAAATTATTTTTAAAAAATCAAGTCTTTATAAGGATATATGAGGGATTTTTTTTTTTTTTTAAACTTCCAATACTTAAAGATGTAATAGAAGTTTGGTAGGTTAGGAAGTCTTCAGGAATAAGATTAACCTTGAGGTGACCTTATTGGCTCTGGAATGCAAACGGAAGTGTAGCATCTTGGCCAAGGTTATGCTTCATAGGAGGTTAGAGGAAAAGAAAAGAAAAAACTAGAAATCAAGTTTCTAATAGTAATAAGATCATTTAGTTCTTTTAAAAAGCTTTTGGCAGATGATTAAAAATGATTTTTCCTCATGTATTATATTGTTAGTTTTTTCCTTAGAAATAGCTAGAAACAAAGATTACTAACTGCTATAAGTTAATAGTGTCTGGTAATACTTTAGTTCTAATTGGTGAATAAGGGAAATAGAAAATTAAGACTACCTTATTTTTATTTATTTCTATTTTTTATTTTTAAAATTTCTCTTTATTGATGAAAATATTACAGATGTTCCGCTTTTTCTACCTATTGACTCCTTCTGCCCTGCACCCGCAGGCCTTCACCACACTATTGTCAGTGTCCATGGTTATGCATATATGCATATAGTTCTTTTTTGCTTAACATTTAGAAACAAATGTTTATTTTTTTAAATCCTCATCAGAGGATATTTTTTACATCGATTTCTAGAGAGAGAGTGGAAGGGAAGGAGTGTATGTGTGTTTATGTGTGTGAAAGAGAGATTGAGAGAGAGAGAGAGAGAGAGAGAGAGAGAGAGAGAGAGAGAGAGAGAGAGAGAGAGAGAAAGAGAGAGAGAGAGAGAGAGAGAGAGAGAGAGAGAGAGAGAGATCATGTGAGAGAGACACATCGATTGGTTGCCTCCCACACATGTCCCCACCAGGGCTGGCAAACTTGCAACTGAGGTTCATGCTCTTGACCAGGAATTGAACCCGGGACCCTTTGGTCCACAGGCCAATACTCTAACCACTGAGCAAAATCGGCTGGGTCTGCTTAACATTTTTAGTTCCAATTTCAATCAGCAGAGTTATCAATTGACATTTACTGTGAAGCCCTTGGGTGAATGTTATTGAGCCAAATACCACAAGTTGTAATATCTTCTGTCTACACTCTCCGTGAACAAACTGGTAGTTGAACTGTTGCTTTCAGAACCTAAAGATAATAGTGTTTGATGTTGATATGTTGTGAGATTCTAGCCTTGGAGTCATGATGTTAAACTAGGAAAAATGTACACTGAAACTTTAAAAAATATGTACATAAATATATATTTTTATTGATTTCAGAGAGAGGAAGGGAGAGGAAGAGAGAGATAGGAACATCAATGATGAGAGTCAATCATTGATCAGCTGTCTCCTGCACTCCCCCTCCTGGGGATCCAGCCTGAAACCTGAGCATGTGCCCTGACCAGAACCGAATGGTGACCTCCTGGTTCATGGCTCAGCATTCAACCACTGAGCCACACCGGCCCGCCACACTGAACATTAAAAACAAAAAATAGAAACTGTATTTACTGTCTGTCGAATAAAAAAAGTCACTGACCATGCAGTGAAACACTAAACATATTCTTGAATATTTTAAATATTTCATCAGATATTACTTTAGCGTAAAAGAGTTGAATTTTATTTAATTGAGCATTATATGAATATTGCAAGATAAACTTTCATTTTGACAAGAAAAATAAGGAGGTGAGTTGATTCAGAGACTATCTGAAAACTCAAATACAAGGAAATCTTGGTCGATAAGATGCCAGAAATTTGTGACTGAAACTTACTTTTACCTGACCTCCAAGGTTAATATCACATTTCACATTAAGGTATTTTTCATCCTATAATGTTAAAAAGGTGTGTGTGGTTTGACTTGGTCAGATTTTAAGTATTTATCTTTCCTTATCAGTCCCCCTCCTTTTCCTATCCCTCCCCACCACAGTCTCTTTTGCTCTGTTTAGGGTTCCTACTGCTGGCTATCTAGTCATTACCATTCTAATACCATTTAAGGTAGCTCTGCTGGGTTTATGTTGAGCCCTACAATCCAGTTTCTCTTTTAAACCTGGCTTCCTAAATCAAGCTGACAAGCCATTTTATTTTTTATTTTTCTCTCTTTTTTCATTTCAACCACTCGCGATTTAGATCGGCTAGGGAGATATAATGGGCGCTGGGTGCAGCCTCTGCCCGCAGGAGCCGGTGTTTTCGAGGTTTCCTCCTTTCCCGGCTGGACGTGCCTCCGCCGGGCACAGCACCTTGTGAAGGACTCCAGCCCCCACAGTTCCTTGTGCGCGCATGCCCTTTCTTCTCACAGTTGTCAAAGTGCTTTTGCCAGAGCGGTCACCTAATCAGCCTGAAAGAAGAAAATAAATACTGTACACTTTTACATTTTATCGATCCTTAAACACTGGACACTCTAAGGTAACCGCTGCTAAGAATTTGTTACTTGAGGTTGGGTGCTTGCATGTGAAGGAAGATCTATTGTGTGTGGTGTGTGTGGTGGGGGGAGGGGAAGGAGGAGGTATCTATTTCTCGGACTTTGCTGTAAATAAGAAAAAAAACCCCAAAAAACAAAAATCCGAAAAAAAAAAACACCCCTGGGTCCAAACAAAACAAACTATGCAAGCAGAAGTGCATATTAACTTTGTGAATGTTATCTTAACCTATTGTTTACCTTTTGTTTAAAGGGTCTTATTTAGTAAAGATGGGTCTTGACCTTGACAGAGTGAATTTATACAGAAAGTGAAATTTATATCTTTTAAGGGTGTTGAGAAGAGAGAGGGGTGTTCATGGTATGATAAACATTTTAAAATCTAATCAATATGTTAATATTAAGTACAGCCTTTGTAAAATATTCTGAGTCCAGCTTACTTTTCGGCTTTTTTTTCTTTTCTTTTTTCTGTCGTACAGCATTCTATTTTCCACCAAGAGCATGTAGTTTATGCTGAAAGTATGAACAAAAAGCATTGGTACAAGCATCAGAAAAGCTGTGATATTGAAATTAGAAATCAACTGCCTATTTCAGCCATGATGATAGGGCTATTGTAAAGACAATCTAACCCACGGGAAGCATCTTAAATCCCAGATTAGAATGGTTTGCTGCAGCCCTGCTTCAACCAAGTATGAAAATGTCTCTTTCTGTCACCATTTCCTTCGGTAGCAATAGAACTTGGCGGCGTGAATCCCGGCTTCACTCGCCTCTTTGTGTCCTATTTTTTTCAATACCGATCAAAGCATTGTATTAGACCAGGGAAACTGAGGAACATAAAAATCAATCTTAAGTAGATTTTATTGGTAGTAGCTGGCAATTTGTGATGTTTGTCACCCTGGGCTGGGTTCTTTTTCAGGGGACGGGGGAGAGGGAGATAGGAAAGGATAGAAAAGGAGAGTGAGGTGGCTGGGAAGCATTTCCTTGAGCCCGCTGTTTTGTCTGTGTATGGAACTTTAAAATGAAAGACTAACCATGTCTTCTTCTTTATTTTTTGAATTACAAAATTTTTAAAAAGTTGATGTACAATATTATATTTGTTTCAAGTGTACAACCCCATGATTAGACATAATCATTTTAAAGATAGTCTTTAATAAAATGGAACTATTTTTAATCCTGTTTCTTGGTTGGACGTAATTTTGTTTAATAGTTAAGAGCAGTGGCACCTCCATTTCCAATACATTTATTTTACAACAGTTATGAGTATGAGGGGGCCCGAAGGCCGAGCTTCTGCCCGTAATTGAATGCCCTTTCACAAATGCCCTGAGAAAATTCTTCTCTGTATCTGAATTCATTAACTGCGTTAAATAAATTCATAACTTTTGTTACAATTATACTGAATCCTCATCTAAAATAATTATATGTTTGGTCACATGCATCTTTAAAATTCCAAAATATTAGTTTCCAGGGTCTCAGCACTGTAATATGAATATGGTTAATTCAATTAACATGTTTGAGGGACAGGCTAGCTCAGTGATAACTATATGTATGGTAATCTGGTTTTGAGTGATTACTATTTTCACCCATGAATGAGAAAACAGGCCATAGGCAGAGGTGAATATGGTCTGTGAATGAGAAAATAGGCAGTAGGCAGGGGTGAATATAATCCCATTCGAAATGGAAAATACCATACTCTCCTTATATGGCTAAATGAAGCCGTGATGGCAATGCACTATAATTACAATGTATGAGAATTCGAGACTTTGTACTCTGCTATTTTTAACACTTTTGCTAGCATATGGTAATTCAGGGTCTTCAAGCCATAATCTTTCACTGCTAATACTAGTGATAAGAGAGTGTATTCTAAATTTGCTTAAGTCTTGTGACCGAGGCAGCAGCAGGAGGATTCAAAAATGACAATCTGGCAACTCCAGAATTATCCTGACTTTCTACTTAAATCCCAGAAGGATTTTTTACTTTTCTTTTTTTCCTCCCCAGAGGATTTTTTTTTAAAGCCCCACCCTATCTCACATTCAGTGTCTGCCAGCCTCCCTCTCTCTCTCTCTCTCTCTCTCTCTCTCAGCCTCCCTCTCTCTCTCTCTCTCTCTCTCTCTCTCTCTCTCATACACACACACACCTCTCACCTCAAATATTTACAACTAGAACATTTTTTCACTCTGCAGAGAAATTCTCAGGCTCCTGTTGAGACCTGAACCACTTGAGATGCCAAAAATCTCTTGTGAGGCAGAATTGGGAGACAAGAAAATTGGAGAATAAGCAGAAAATCCCTAATCCTCAGAGAGTCACAAGAAGGAAGCACTTCCAAAGGCTTCAGGAGATTTTTTCCTCTTTAAAAAAAAACGGTGTGGGCTTTTTCTTTTCTTTTTTTCCTGTCTCCTAACAAAATGGAGTGCTGCTGCAGCTCCTGGGAGGCCAGAGAACGATTGTGCAGCTGAGTCCTCCTCCTCCTCCCCCTCCTCCCCCTCCCCCTCCCCCCCTCCTTCTTCTCCCCCTCCCCCTCCCCCTCCTCCTCCTCCTCCTCCTCGCACATGCCAAGGATTTCCTCCCTCGTGGTTCGCTGCTGCTGCTAAATGAAACAATTATCAACGCTAGAAGGCAGTTTGCTAACCAAGAGAGATGGGGCTGCTGTTTCTTTAAAGTGTCAGAATCCAGGGGGGTGGGGGGAGAAAGGGTCGCGCGGTGTCTCTTTAACCTTGTGAAGGACGCAGCAGTATTTATTGACGTATGCAAATGACCAGGGGAGGGTGGCGCTTGGGAAAAAACAGGAACCAGAATCAGTTTCTCATTGCAGGGCGAACGCTCTGAGTTCCGGTGAAGGGGGAAAAAAAAAAGGAAAAAAAGAGACGTGGCGAAATTGCTGTCTCTCTGTTTTACAAGCACCTCTCTCCCTAATCCCGAAAGGGAACCGAGACCTCAGAAAGGGTGAAGACGCTCTCCCCGTATTTTTTTTTTTTTTTTTAAGAGACCTTGCGCGGCGAGCCTCCTCCCAACCCCAGCCCGACCTGCTCTTCCAAATGGGAGATTATGGATTTGCATTGCAATTGGCTAGTTAGCGGAGGCGCTGGATTTTCGCAAGCAAAACACCCGCCCGCCTCGGCGAGGGGCATTCACGATCACGTTGACCCTAACGCGCCTCTCTTTCTTCCCGTTTCAGCTGCGCAAACCATGCAGGATGATTTACTGATGGACAAAAGCAAAACCCAGCCCCAGCCCCAGCAGCAGCGGCAGCAGCAGCAGCAGCAGCAGCCCCAGCCCCAGCCCGAGCCCAGCGCAGCCGACGCCCCGTCCACGCCCCTCTCCTCGGAGACCCCCACGCCGGACGACAGCAGCCCCGCCGCGGCGGCCCCGCCGGCCCCCAACGGCCCCGAGAAGATGCAGCTGGAGTCGCCGCTCCTGCCGGGCTTGAGCTTCCACCAGCCCCCGCAGCAGCAGCCGCCGCCGCCGCCGCCGCCGCAGGACCCCGCCGCGGCGCCCGGCGCGTCGCCGCTGTCGCCGTCCTTCGGCAGCACCTGGTCCACGGGCACCACGAACGCGGTGGAGGACAGCTTCTTCCAGGGGATCGCCCCCGTCAACGGGACCATGCTCTTCCAGAACTTCCCGCACCACGTCAACCCCGTCTTCGGGGGCACCTTCTCCCCGCAGATCGGCCTGGCGCAGACCCAGCACCACCAGCAGCAGCAGCCGCCGCCGCCCGCCCCGCAGCCGCAGCCCCCGCAGCCCCCGGCGCAGCCCGCGCCGCAGCCCCCGCAGCCGGCGCCACAGCCCCCGCCGCAGCGCCGCTCGCCCGCCAGCCCCAGCCAGGCGCCCTTCGCGCCCCGCAGCGCCGCCGCCGCCGCCGTCGCCGCCGCCGCCGCGGCGTACGGCCACCAGCCCATCATGACCAGCAAGCCGTCCTCGTCCTCGGCCGCCGCGGCCGCCGCCGCCGCAGCTGCCGCGTCCGCCTCGTCCGGCTGGAGCGCGCACCAGGGCGTGAGCGCCGCCGCCTGGAGCGCGCCCTCCGGCCCGTGGGGCGGCCTGCCCGCCGGCCGCGACCCCCGCCGCGCGGTCGGCGTGGGCGTGGGCGTGGGCGTCGGGGTGCCCTCGCCGCTCAACCCCATCTCGCCGCTCAAGAAGCCCTTCTCCAGCAGCGTGATCGCGCCGCCCAAGTTCCCCCGCGCCGCCCCGCTGCCCTCCAAGTCCTGGATGGAGGACAACGCCTTCCGCACCGACAATGGCAACAATCTGTTGCCATTCCAGGTAAGGCTCCAGGCCGCACCTGCGCCCGCCCGCCTCCTCCTTCCCCCGCTTCCCTCCCTGGCTCCTTCTCCCCTGCCTTCCATTAGCCCGCTGATTGCCCCCTTGCCTTCACCCCCCCTCCGAAGCCTCCATCCAGTTCCCTGAGGCCATTCCGCTCCCGGGCTCCGGGATGGGGGGGACATTGACTGTCCAAAGAGACGAGTTTCTGCACCCTGACAAGATAGAAAAGGGCCTTCCCCCCCCCCCCCCTTTCGTTTATTTTTTCCCTTCAGCTTTCTTTTGCCTCTTGTTTTGACTTTCTTTGACAAGTAAATGCTGCAAGTGTGTGGCAGGGTGCCTGCATCGCCCCAGGATGAGTAGGCGGAGATTCGGCTGGGTTGGTTGGTTTAGGTAGCTAGCTTCCCTTTTCAAGTGACGCAATTTGGGGCTCCAGGGTGCAGAGTGCCGGACACCCCTAAGAGCACCCCGGCCCTCCTTGAGGAGAGATGAGCAAGCCCGTGCGTGGTGCTGTTTCAGACAGTTGCATACGCCCAATTAAACTAATGTGAACACATGTGTTTATGTCTTGCTAAAAGGTGCTGGCATCTCTAATAGCAATCAGCATATTGCCCCTGCCAGGAAAATGATGAGTGTGAGGTTCCAGTCACCATCGGAACTCTTATCAGAGGCAGAGATGAAGAGTGGAAATTCTAGGGGGGTAACCCTTCCTTATGTTACCTAGGAGAAGGGCTTAGAAAAAAAAAAAATTTTTTTTTTCCAGAGGAAAGAGACAATAGGACACGACCTTCAGAGCCATATTGCAATGGAGTCTCTTTGCTAGTTCGCACTGAAATATTTAAAGCTGCAGTGTCCTTGGGTTGGGTTATTTAAGAAGACAATGCAGATCAATTACACCATTTGAAACTGGGCAAAGTGAAAGTCTTGCAACTTTAATGAAAAACGAGCCTTGTACCTTGGTGTTAAATGCCAATGAAAAAGCCCAGGAAGTGCCCCAGACAAAAAAAAAAAAAAAAACAAAAAACACACAAACGTTGAATGGAGTGTCCTTATTCTGTTCTCGCTCTCCGATCCAGCCTTCGGCCTCCGGCCACACTGGTTGACAGTGTCCGGAACATGTTGAGTTGGAAAGGGGTGGTGAGGGTGAGTGTTCCCTGTGGGCTTTTGTTCTCAGGCAAACCTTTGTCCTTCACTTACAGATTGATTTGGCCATCACATTCTAGGCTCCCTTAAAAAGGAAAAGAAGAAAGGAAGGAGAGAGGAGGGCTTTGGATGAGACTCCCTTAGTGTGTCAAGGAAAAACCAACCAACCCCAAATCCTTTGAGCATCGCTGGAAAATGGCAGAACCAGCATCTGACAGAGGTGGTTTAACACAGCAGGTGCAACTGGAGCCTTCCTTTTATTGTTCTGTGCTTCAGATGTGATGTTCGGGCGCCTCCCACCCCTGAAGGAGGAGATAGGGTTATTGAGAAGCACATGATTCTCTCCGCCAGAGCAAGGATTTTTAGTCTTGATAGATGAAGGAGGTCCGTGAAACCCATCAGTGGTGTGCATGAGAGGTTTTAATGAGAAAGGATCTTAACAAGTTTTCACAGGCTGCTCCAGGGATGGAAGATTGTAGTAGTAACTTTTTTTTTTTTTTTTTTTTTTTTGCCATTCTAAAGTCTGCTTATTAAAAAAAATAAAAATGAAGAGACACTGCAAGATGGGATCAGTTTGGTAGGTAGAGAAAAGGAGGAATCCACTTTCTGGAATTTCTCCAAGCATTTATTTGGGGTGGGGTGGGGTAAGGCAGGAATAGAGGCTGCATTTGGTAAAAGAGCTCTTTTTAAAAAAAATATATTTTTATTGATTTCAGAGAGGAAGGGGCAGAGAGGGAGAGATAGAGATAGAAACATCAATGATGAGAGAGAATCATTGATAGCGGCTGCCTCCTGCACATCCCCCAGTGGGGATTGAGCCAGCAACCGGGGCATTTGCCTTTGACTGGAATCGAACCGTCAAACTCCCCCCCCCCCTCCCCCCCCCCCCCCCCCCCCCCCCCCCCGTCTCAAGGCCAATGCTTTACCCACTGAGCCAAACCAGCCAGGGCAGGAGAGCTCTTTTTCGTAGTATTCTTTTTATTTTTGTGCTTCCAACCCAAGTCCCAAACCAAGTCTTGGAGGATAACCTCAACTCTAATCAGGGGGTTTAGGAGCTAAGAGCGGAGGATGTAGACATCAGTTATCTTTTTCTAGGAGATGAATTTGAATACAACTAGCTTTTGATTAATGATCTCCGGAAATGGGATCTGGAGAGAGATTAAATCCATAAAAGATCCCTAAACAGATATTGACAAGTAGTGTGTGGTTTCTCCGCAGGCCGTTTATCAGCAGCGCTAATTGTAGCCAGACAGGCTGGATTGAGTTTGGTCCCTTGTCTTCTTCCACCGAATGGTGCAGATTTGTAGGTGGAGACATTTGACCTAAAATTGAGCTTTATATATTTAACCAGAGAAAGAACTGCATGGGCTTCATGTCTCACTTTGTTTCTTAAAATGGAGCTTCTGGGTTTTGAAGCAGTATTAGAGTCAGGGTAGGAGTAACTAGGATGTATTTTGGCTTGAAAATATTATCAGACTTGGTTTGTGTTGATAAGTACATAAAGTATGTTTGAGTCTTGTGTGGAGAATTTTACATGTTTGTGCATTTACTTAAATAATTTTTCTACAAAAGGAGAAAATATCTTAATCCTAATGACTTTTTTTTTTAATTGTTTGACAAATAGGATTTTTTTTCTCTAAATTGAAAAGTTTATTTCAGCCAAAACTGGTTTGGCTCAGTGGTAGAGCATCGGTCTGAGGACTGAAGGGTCCAGGGTTCGATTCCGGTCAGGGGCATGTACATTGGTTGCGGGCACATCCCCGGTGGGGGGTGTGTGCAGGAAGCGGCTGGTCGATGTTTCTCTCTCATCGATGTTTCTGGCTCTCTATCTCTCTCCCTTCCTCTCTGTAAAAATCAATAAAATATATTTTAAAAAAAAGTTTATTTCATAAAGTGCTAACTTTTTTAAAAAATAAATCTTTATTTCTCAGATTATTACAATTGTTTCTCCTTACTCCCCCCATACCTCCCTTCCACCCAATTCTCGCCCCACCCTCTGCCCTTACCTCCCCCCTCCCACCATTGTTCTCATCCATAGGTTATACGATTTTAATCCAGTCTCTTTCTGCACCCCCACACCCCTTTCCCCCTGATAATTATCAATCCACTCCCTTTCTTTGCCTCTGATTCTATTATATTCACCATTTTATTCTGTTCCTCAGATTTTTAATTCACTTGATCTTCTTCCTCTTCTTAAATAATACTTTTCAGCATTTCATATAATAGTGGTTTGGTGGTGATGAATTCCTTTAACTTTTTCTTATCTGTGAAGCTCTTTATCTGCCCTTCAATTCTGAATGATAACTTTGCTGGATACAGTAATCTTGGTTGTAGGTTCTAGCTATTCATCACTTTGAATATTTCTTGCCCCTCCCTTCTGGCCTGCATGGTTTCTGCTGAGAAATCAGCTGATAGTCGTATGGGTGCTCCTTTATAGGTAACCAGCTGCTTCTCTCTTGCTGCTTGTAAGATCCTCTTTTTGTCTTTTGCCCTTGGCATTTTAATTATAATGTGTCTTGCTGTATTCCTCTTTGGATTCCTCTTGTTTGAGGTTCTGTACACTTCCTGTACTTGTAAGTCTTTCTTTCACCAGGTGGGGGAAGTTTTCTGATATTAGTTCTTCAAATATGTTTTCAGTATCTTGCACTCTCTCTACTCCTGGCACCCTCACAATTCTGATGTAAATTTATCGGCCTGTTTCTAGGAAATTCTTGAAAAACCTTCTAGCCATGGTTTTGAACTGTATATCCAGTCTTTTGTTCTCTTCCATCTCTTTCGTTTGAGGTCTATTTCCTTGTCTCGGCATTTTCACTGCTTCCCAGAGTTGGTAGGATGGCTTTGTGTGTTTGGTGTCCTATGTGGCCCAGTGGGTCAGCCTCCTCAGTTACCTGAGGTGGACACTCCTGGTGCTCCCCTTTGTGGACTGCGTGTACAGCCTTGTTGTCGCTAAGTCTTTATTGTTGTTGGTATCCCTGGGAGGAACTGACCTGCAGGCCAATTGGATGTGGGTATCAGCTGTGTCTACTCTGGGATACCTTCTGTATTGGAGACAGTCTTATAGGATCAGACTTGCAAAATTGCAGAAGCCTCTGTGCTCAGCTTGGATGGGGCAGAGTCTCAGGGCTGAGCTGACAGTCTTGGCTTCCTATCAGTCCTACCCTTGTGTGCTCCCCTGAGTTTCCGCCTGACCGTCCCAGATTCCCCGTGCAAGAGCGTGGGTGCCCCAGGGGCTCACCCGGAGTTGGGTTGGGTCCCTGTAGTCTGGAGCTTCTGACTCCTTCTGCTGTGGAGAGGCCTCGGCAACCTCCGGGGGTCAGACCTCTGTGTGTTCTCACTCACGCAGGACTGTAGACCCTGCCCGCTGCGGCTCCCGGCTCCCCCAGTCTCCCAGTCTCTTAGTCGCTGGGTGCCTTTCTTACTTTCTTTCTTTTTTTTTTTCTTTTTTTTTTTTTAATATATTTTATTGATTTTTTACAGAGTGGAAGAGAGAGGAATAGAGAGTTAGAAACATCGATGAGAGAGAAACATCGACCAGCTGCCTCTTGCACACCCCCCACCGGGGATGTGCCTGCAACCAATGTACATGCCCTTGACCGGAATCGAACCTGGGACCTTTCAGTCCGCAGACCGACTCTCTACTGCTGAGCCAAACCGGTATCGGCTCTGGGCGCCTTTCTCTACAGTCCAGACTCCCACCGGTGTGAGCCTGGGTCCGCGGGGTTTCGGCCTGGGTTGGGGTTCAGTACAGCCGGAAAGGGTTCAGTGCAATCGGGGATTCCCTTCCCCTCCCCGAGCCAGGCATTGGGCCGCACTCCCTCTCTGCGCTTTGCAGCTCCCAGTCGGATCCGTGAGCCTCCCTC